TGTCCGTGATAGGTTATGCAGTGTTTTTTTGTCAAGTGTTTTGGTCAAGTAAAAACCTCCAAACACACTGCTGACTCAGCTCTGTGTGTGTGTGTGTGTGTGCGTGCGTGCGTGCGTGCGTGCGTGCGTGCGTGTGTGTGTGTGTGTGTGTGTGTGATCTCTTTTCCCTGGAAAAGTACCGGTAAATCTTATGAAACTTCTTCCATTCAGAAGCATTTATTTAAAGTTGTGGTTGCTCTGCATTTATTAATTAAGGGCAGGCTAGAGACATTGGGTACAAAGAACAAGTGTATATAAATTGGCTAAATTAGATTAGGCTGGAAATTAGATGAAAGTTGCTCACCAGCCTCTTGATTGCAGTGATTGGGGCAAATATCTTAAGTTTTAGGGTGGAACTGAATGGGTTTGCATGGTTGCTCCTGATAGCAGGGGGCTGGACACAGACCCAGTTGGTCCCTTCCCGTCTTGTGTTGGTTGGTGCACTTCTGAGTTGGAGAAGGAGGTGGTTGAGATGTCTGATCATCCTTAGCTCTTGTGGAAGTTTGTTCCACAGTCTGGGACAGGCCCCTGAGGTTATGTCTACACTGATTGTTAGAGCTGACCATAAGCCTATCCTCTGGCCCATAATACCTGCTGCCCTCTACATAGAAAATCCCCAAATTCAATCCCTCCTAGCACTCCAAACTGGTGGGATGGGTCTACTGAGCTCCAGGGCCCGAGGTGGAGTCCCCCTTAGCCCACTTCTCCCTGTATGTCTGGAACTCACTATGGGGCTGCAAGACCTGAACGTGGGAAGTCCTGCAGCAATAATCCCACAACTTTCTGGTCTTCACTTCTACATCCTGCTCCTTGTCTCTGTGGCCAATAATGAGAAAGAAGAAGGGAAGAGGGATGCAGAAGTGAAGACCCTTCCCAAGCCAGAATCTGGCCCCCAGTGACCTCCTCAACGAGGCTTTGTTCCTACAGCTAAATGAATATCCACGGGTCCACACAGTCCCTACGTGTGTACGTGTGTGTGTGTATGTGTGTGTGTGTGTGTGTGTGTGTGTGTGTGTGTGTGTGTGTGTGTGGTGTTGTGGTTTTTTTTTTTTACAAGCAAACAGCTCCCTGAAGACGGTTGTATTCATTCTTTCTCCTCCAACTTCAAAATCCAGCAGCACCTTGGGAAGAATTGAGTCCTTGACTATCTTGCATGAATGACCTGACCAATATTAGTCATACTACCCTGTTTATATAATCAGATTTTTCTCCTGAAGGGCAGAGGGGGTGGGTGTGAAATGCATGTTACTCATCATATGTTCAAGGATATTTATAAATGTTAAGCCATGATTATACCTGTTTTCATTATACATGGCACAGTCAGGACCTGTTTTTTCAACGACGCCTTGCTCACAGTTGGGCTGCTAAGGAAAGGTGTGATTTTGTGCGCACGTGTGCTCAGCACCCAACAGCTTCTGTGGTGACCCTTGGAGTTGGCACTTTCAAAACCAGGAAAGTTTGGCCTCCGACTCTGGCTCGTTAATGGGACATGAGGCCTTTCCTATCTTTTAAAGAAGAAAAATGCCTTTCTGGGCTAGCTGCATCATTACATCTGGAGTCTTTCAGGCCCTTGTCGTTGGGCTCCACTTTCTGAATTGGGATCCGGATTTGTAACACCACACACCTCAGTCACCACTGGCCGGGGCCCATCGCTTTGCTTCCCCTTACTGCGGCACCGGTCACCTAAGTGAGTGTGCCTTATGCCAGTGCTGCTTTGGGATTCACCGCAGGATCCTGCTGCTTCAGTCACCCCTTATTGAGATCACTTGGCCACTTTACAGCTGGGCCTGATGTTTATACAGGTCTGGCTCGCTCCAGCATCCAAATCCTGGTCCTCTGTGTGCGCTGCAGGAAAGTACGTGGCCCCTTGTACAGTCTGAGATTATGCACTCAGCCTGTTGAAGAAAGAGGCTGAACTCTCCATGGATTAAGAAGTAGAATCAGACCTGACGGCATACACAAGTAAGACAGGGAATACATTTGAGGAAGGTTGTTTTGAAGCAGTGCAGATGTCTATTTATTACTTACCTTTAGCTGAGGAAGCATTGTGAAAACTGCCCTTTCCTTTCCCCCTCTCCCGCCCAATTTCTGGATTTCCTTACTCGAACCCAGATCCCATGTTTTATAGACTATCCTCCATTTGTGCTTTAATTTGCCTTCTGGAACATTTGCTTACTTAGAAATCTGTTACGACATCTATTGCTACAGCATATGGTTGCCTTCCATTGCTAAGTGATCAATTAAAAAACACCGCCATGTAACAGACTACAACACCAACTTCTGCTTCTTTGAATGGGTATTTGCAGCTGGTTAGGGATTAAAACAGATTGCAATGGATTAGGCCAAGGATTAAATCGGACTGTAATGGATATCGTGTAAGATCGTTCCGTGTCTGTTCTTGGAAACAGATTATCACAACTCTGTGGCTGTCCAACCACTCGGCGATACACTGTGCCACTCGGTGTTTCGCAGTAGCAGCAGATTTGAAATAATCCAGTTTCTCTTGCCCGGAAACACGGGTCCCTTGCCATTTGAACGAAACGAGGCTCTGCGCTACCTGTCAGTAGTACAGAGCCGGACACAGGTCAGCAGATACTCATCCATCCAGCAGAGGGCAATGGGATACCTCTTTTCTGGGACGTCTCCTGGCTTTGTTCACACTTCACGTGGGATTTAAGAGGGCTGAGGGGTTGACAAAACAATGGTTTTTAATGAGGTTCTGTATAGTCACAGGGTCCCCCCTAGAGCATGCCATGTATAGGCTTTCGCAGCGATAGAGGGTACATGTCGCGCACTACAAATATGACTTTCAGGCTGCTTTATGTGGAAAATCTGGCCCATTCGTACCGAGCAGAAGCGGAGCTCTCACGATCGTCTATCTGTCATTGTGGGGTCTGGGTAATTGAAAAATGAACCCCTGAGCTCTGGAGCCTGCCCTCCTGTTTACAAGCTGTAGTTTCTATTAAAAGTAACTTTACTGCAAGACAAAAAGTGTAGCTGCTCTATGTGGAAGGGGGAGATCCATGCTAACAATGTCCGTGGCTCTTAAATCCATGTTCCACCCCATTTCTATAAACATCTTCAACTTTTTTATTAGAAGCCTTGCAAACAAAGGTCTCTTCAGCTAAAACCTGTGCCTCAGTCTGACTCTTGCTCTCTTTGACTCCCAACACTAGGGTCTGATGCCTTTTCCTCCTGTTCGGGAAGGTCGGCACCAAGGCAGAGAGCAGAAAAGCTACAGCTCGGCTCCTCGCCAAATGAAATCTGGTAGGTGAGAGGGGTTGTTTGCCGAACACATCCATAAGACAGCCCACCAAACTCTCAAGAGGATGCTCATAGGGGATGCTCAAGCAGGGTGAGGAGTTGATGGGGCTCTGATAGTTGCAGCTAACCCAGGGTGGCTTCTCAGCAGGGTTTGTATAAAACAGGGTGACATGGGTGCCAGAAGTGGCAGACTGGGGAGGAAGCAGGCAGCACAGTGGGGCTGGGGTAGAGCAGAAAGAAGAGCAGCAGAACAGGTGTGGGGGGGGGCGGGTGGTACAGGACAGGGAGTAGAAAGCCAAGGAACAGATAGGGAAGGGAACTGGAGTGGCACTCGGGGAGAGCCTGCCTAAAAGGTTGGGCCCCCCATGGGTACAAAGCTTGTCAGAGAGACGTAGGTGACAACAGGGGCTGTTCGGGGAGTGCAGACCCCTTCGGAGGTAGAGAGGAAGATGCACCCGGCCCAGAGAAGTCTGCACCATTAATTGTGTCTTACTCTTGAGTCGGTGAGTGGATGATTGATGTGCAGCATGATGCATCCCATTTATGGGCATGGCAGTGTGTGTGCGTGTGTGTAAAGGGGAGGGAGTGTGTGTGTATTCCTCTCGCTCCATCTCCACCCAGAGAAACTCTCGCAGCCCCCAGTGCCAGGCTGCCGGCTCTGCATTTGCAAATGATTGATTGCTTGCTTTCTTTTTCTTTTTTTGGTTTTAAACCCCCGCCACCCCCTGATGCGGTTTCGTTGCCAGGATCCCAGCGAGGGCATCCCCTCCTTTAGGTGCTGCCGTCTCTCTGCGTGCATGTGTGGATGGCAGAGCAGTGTAATCGCCTGTGTAACAGTTGCATGCGTGTGTTTATGTAGCAGTTCTGGCGCAGGCACCTGTCACTTCAGCTCCCTGCTCCCACACGCATCAAATGCCAGAGCCTGAAGGGAGCACAGACTCCCTTTTCCTTTGGGTGTTGGGCTCTGCGCCGGATCAGCATCCGCCCCAGAAGTAACATGCTTTGGGCAGGGCTGGCTTGGGTTTGCCCCTCCGTCTCCCCACTACTCCCCAGCCATCCCCTAGATCCCACATGGATCCAAGCAGTCGTGTCTCTGCACTTATATATATTGCACAGCTGTTGTGTCACAAGGGGAGCCTGGATGGGCAGAGAGGCACCTGGCACTTGAGCCTGCGTCCCCCAAACCTACCTGTGGGACACACCCCTCCAGCAGTGCCCTGCGGTGCAAGGGGCACAAAGCAGCAGTGCAGGGCAGCCTTGGAGTGTGCACTTTGCTGCTCCTGCCCGCGGTGGGGACACGGGAGGCCCTCCTGGGCAGCCGGGGCCTCAGGATCCCGCCCCCAGATGCACCCCCTGTGTCCTAGGCAGGGCCAGGGCAGAGCCCCAAGGGGCAGGGGTGCAGCTGGGTGTGTGTGTGTGTACACATACAAACACACACTCTCCTGGCAGAACCTGCCAATAAGCTAAGTATTAGCGACTGCCCTGCTTTCTCGGGGAGGGGGGGCAAGATGCATAGCGGGCTTGCACACGGATTTCTCTGCGTGTGCACAGTACAGCACCCCCCTCACCCGCACAGCCACCCAAGTGTGCAGGGAGATCGCCCCCCTGTGCCCTGGAGCCACGGGGGGCAGCGCCCTGCTCCGGCGGGGATGCGTGTTACCACGAGGATTGGCCCGGCGGCGGAGGGGGGTTGGCCGCGGTCACCCGGGAGAAATACTCCTGGCTGTCCCTCCGGGCCTCGTGAGGAGAAGCCCCACTTCGCCCCCCCGCCACACGCGCACTAGGACGAGAGGCTCCTCTAGCTGTTGGGGGACTCGCGCAGCGACAGAAACCCCGCGGTCCTGGCGTAGGTAAGTGCTGTGCGCGCACAGGGGGCAGGAGCGGCGACACGCGCGCACACGCGCACGCGGTGGGGGGGGGGAGACTCAGGGATCTCCCTGCGGGGGTGCCTTGCACGCGCACACACGCTCCCCCTCTCCCCGCAGCACC